GGGAGGTGGGGCTGAGGCCCCGCGCAGGGGCGCAAGTGGAGCAGCTCACCCCCTTCCTTTTCAATAGTAATAACTGGTCATCCCCCTCGCTCCCATCTGCGGGCCCTGAGACCGCGGGCCGCCCCTACCCCCCCTCCCTAGGCGGGTTGGCGGAGTTTGGGGAGTGTGCCTGGGCGTCCCTCTCTCCCCAGTCTGTGCCCCTTCTCCCCGGGGTGAGTCAGGAGGGGTGGGTTCGCTGGTAAATCAGATGTTTTCTAGTGCTCTCCGAGGGGCTGGTGCCCTTCCATGCCGGCCACAAACCCCAGGCTCAGGGTCCTGGGGTGCGCGGTGGGGCAGGAAATGCCCCCCCCCCCCGCCCCCGCAGTGGCCAGCTGGCGTTTGAAGCCAGCACCAAATACTGCCCTGAGGCACAGGGGCTTGCGCTGCTGAGGGGTGGGTGTCCCGGGTCGGATGGATGCCCGTATTCCCAGGAGGTGTGGGTGAGAGGGAACAAGTTTGGTTGGGGTGAGAGGCCTCCTGGACGCGTTCTCCCCAAAGAGTGGTTTCAGCTGTTTCTATGGACGTGATGGGAGTTAAAGCTTGGGATGGAAATAGGACCTGGAGTGGTGAGAAGCTAAACCTAGAAAACTCGGAGGAAGTAGGAGGTGGTGGGTGGAGCTCCTGTTTGTCTCCTGGTCCTACTACCCCAGCCCCAGCTTCAGAATGGGGAGGCTCAGGCCAACCAGTGTGAGAAAGCCCACCTGCCTCACCTGTTCCTCACCCAACCAGGGCCTTTCACAGGCTCATCCTCAGCAGGGGGCGAGAGCGCCCTTTAAAAATCTAGCCCAGGCCTGGAAACAAGTATCTATCCATTAAAAAAAAAAAAGCTTGCTTAATTTTTTAAAAAAGCTTTGTTGATATTTAATTCACACACCACACAATTCACCCATTTAAAGTGTACAACTAAATGGATTTTGGTATATTCACAGATATGTGCAACCATCACCACAATTTTATTTTATATACTTTAATTCATTTATTGTATACTCTTTTTTCTGTTTGTTAAAAAATCAATTCAGCAAATATCTCTTAAACAACTACATGTTTTAGAAATTGTTTGAAGGAATATTCTGATTTCTGAATGGCTATTTACTAGTAGTAAACACTGTGATTTAATATCAGTTGTAATTAATTAAATTATTAACTATTAAGCATTTCGTAAGGTATTTTTCTCAGACATCATCATGATAAATATATAAAACAAGATCCAACAAAACACTGTGTTAGATTCAGCCAATCTACTGTTATTGCACTCATATCACTCACACATGTCTAGGTCCATATGGTTAGCATCATCCATTAAGGCAATAAGAATCCCTGTGCTTAGTTTGGTTACTAAATAGATATTCAAAAAAAAATTTTTTTTTTAGTCCAAAAATAGATTTAACTCCACAGCTTAGGGAGTCATCAAAGCACCTTTTATTGCGCTAGTTTTTTCTTCCAGGTGATTCTGCAAATGACCAAAGAGAGCACTTAAGAGCCTTATTGATCACTGGTTTACTTCATTATCTTGCTTTCAACTTAGACGTCTTGTTTGTACCATCACCACAATTTTGGAACATTTTCATGACCTCCGTAAGAAACCCTTTAGCCACCCCCATCCCAGCCTGAAGTAATCACTAATCTAGTTCCAGTCTCTCTATAAATTTCCCTATGGTGGACTCTCATATAAATGGAATAATATAATATGTGGTCTTTTGTGACTGGCTTCTTTCAGTTTGCCTAATGTTTTCACGAGTCATCCATGTTCTACCCCAGTGATGGCGAACCTATGACATGCGTGTCAGAGGTGACACACGAACTCATTTTTTTGGTTGATTTTTCTTTGTTAAATGGCATTTAAATATATAAAACAAATATCAAAAATATGTCTTTGTTTTACTATGGTTGCAAATATCAAAAAATTTCTATATGTGACACGGCACCAGAGTTAAGTTAGGGTTTTTCAAAATGCTGACACGCTGAGCTCAAAAGGTTCGCCATCACTGTTCTACCCTCTATCAGTACTTTATTTCTTTTTATGGCTGAATAATACTCCAAGGGATGGATTCTCTCCATTTTTGAACAATGGAGAAAAGGTCAGCATTTTAAAGAGAAAATTTGCTGAAAACTGCTTTTAAAAAGAGAATTAGTTTTTAAAATGTAGGAAGCATAAAAACGATCAGACTTGCCAAGTAACCTTCAGAGGTTACTTATTGCAAGAACTGGTCGGGTACTATTGAGAGCTGAGCACAGAGCAGGTGCTCCACCTGGACAGAAACAAATGACTGAAAGATCATTCTGCCCCACCCTACCCACGTTGAAACCCCTTCTGCAAAACCCCAGCTCCTATTTGGAAGCTTCTGGCAACAAAATGTCATTTCTTCACGAGGCAACTCATTCCATTTTCTGTCAACTCTCATGGCTAGAACCTTCATTCTCTTCAATATAGTTTCTGTCCCTATTGGTTATTGCTGGAATGGCGGTGGTTTGGGGACCCGTTTTTCTGGTGAGGTGGGAAGGCAGGAAGACACATTAGTTGCCCTTCCTCTATTTAATCTAGAAATCCCCTGCTAGGAAATTATTGGTGGGTGACAAACAGACCACAGGCAAATTTGTAGTCTATCATCTTAATGTGCTAGTGATAGGATGTTTCAAAGTTGTGATGGGTGATAAAGATCAAGTCAAAATTATGGGAAAATGCTTTAAAAATCATCATGTCCTATACAGGTCTGAGGAGGTGATATTATTATTACCACAAGATTGGTGTGTATATAATGCATGGTAGCTTCAATGAGGAAGATGGGTAAATATGAGATAGACAAACTTCAAGCGTAGGTTGAAGTTATAGCTGATTTCTAGCGGGAGAGAAGCCTGACATAACCCAGGCTGACGTTAGCTTTGTAGATGGCTTGGATAAAAACAGGCTTATTAAAACTGTATGTGATATGAAGCCAGAGGGAGAGCAAATTCAGTAGAATGTGGAGCAACAGAGAGCCAGTCCAGAGACAAATGTTTCTGACAAATGACAAGATGCAATCTGATAGAGACAATTGTCAGCCTATGTTCAGTTCAGAGTTCAGTGCGGGGAACACGCCTGGCTTGACAGCTGTTTGCGTGTAAAGGATCTGGGGATTTCAGATGTGTGCCGTCTCAGTTGTCCCAGCCTTGTGACCCAACGGCTAAGAATGTCAACCCGTTATTAATGCATTACTGTGTAATGCATGACATGGTCTGGTGTCAGGGATCACAAAACAGCAGTCTGTGGAACAAATCTAGCCTCCAGACAGGTTTTGTTTGGCTTTCTGGCACTGACTGGCAAAGGGTTCAGATTTTTTTTTTTCATTTGCCTGCAAGCTGGGAGATTTTACTGAAATGCCCAGATTTCAACTTTCTAATGAAAAATCGGACTTGGCTCTCTGGGGCCCTTATTCCCATATGGCAACATTGGCTTTCCCCTTGGGCTGGGCATGTGCTCTTCCGTTTGCCAGCACAGAGGTGGGTGCCGGGAGCCACTGCTTCCCTCCCTCTCCCCCATGGCTTGCTTTGTGGTTTTCAACCCCTGACTCACTTCTCTCATGTTTGCCCTACAGACGTTGAGCATGTGGCCTGAGTGTGGATACAGGGAGGGGGTACTGCTGAACTCTCAGTAGGTCAGAACACAGCCTCAGGGCTGTGATCTGTATGAACACAGCCCGTTTAAAATTCAACAAAACAAAGCCCCAGTTCTTTATTGTGGAAAATTTCAAGTGTACCCAAAAGTAGAGAAAACAATATATATATATATAAAACCCCCTATGTGACCATCCATCTTGACCTTTAAGAATTGCAAATGTTGTTCATCCATCTCCTTCCCTCCCCCTGCACCATCACTGGAATATTTTAAAGGAAACCTCAGGTATGGTTTAATTTAGCTTGTAAATACTTCAGTAGTATGTATGTCCAACAGGTAACCACTTTTTAAAAAAGCATGACCCCAGTGTCATCATGACACCTAACAAGATGAATAATAATACCTCTACATCATCTAATACCTAGTCTGTTCAAATTTCTACTCAGCTCTGAAAGGTATTTTTACAGTTGTTTGTTTGAATCAAGATCCAAAACAAGGTTCACACATTGCATTTGATCAATCCATTAAAAGTTTTTGTTTTAAAAATGTTTTTATTGATTTTTTTTTAAGAGAGGGAGGGAGAGGGAGAGAGATAGAAACATCGGTGAGAGAGAAACATCAATCGTCTGCCTCCTGTACTCCCCTTACTGGGGATCAAACCCAAAACCCAGGCATGTGCCCGACCAGGAATCGAGCTGGCTGGGCTGATCAATCTG